TATTTACGATTTCAAATTCTCCGTAAGGAACTGTGTTCCTGATCAAACCAAACTAATAAATGATAAAATATCCCTATACCTCTAGATACATACATAACACCACTCATACATTCAGTTACAAGTAAAAATAAAATCATCCTTGATAATGGCTAAAAGTATAGCCGAAAGCGCTCGGACATACAGAACCTTTTTACATACTTTGTGTCCAGAAAAGAAAACACTTGTACGAACAAAAAAAAAAAAATTAAATAAAATGTCTAATCGCAAGACCTTGTCAGATGTCTTTAACGATATATATATATATATATATATATATATATATATATATATATATATATATATATATATATATATATATATATATATATTAAAATATCTTGAATTAAAAATCAGATTTAATCCATTTCATAATATATATATATATATATATATATATATATATATATATATATATATATGTGTGTGTGTGTGAGCACAGAGAGAGAGAGAGAGAGAGAGAGAGAGAAAGGAGTTGTCTCCTACTATTGCACTCATATTAGTTCAATCATCACGGGTTTTCTGCAAGTTAGCCTTCTGTCAGTCTAATAATCTAAGTATATTAAAAGAAGGAAATACATATGAGGTTTTCAGCCGAAAGTAGCCGTTTATCTTTCTTTTTTTTTTTTTTTTTTTTTTTTTCGTCTAGTCTCATCGGAAACTCTCATTGTCTTTGTCTCTCACTGGTAACAGATTGCCCATTTAATCAAACGGCCATAAAACATTTCATCGCCAAAACAGACAGCTCGTCGTGTTGGACTGCACTTATTTGCACTGTTTTAAAGAGTTTCCCGGTCGTGACAAAAAATGCTCAGCTAACTTTTAGATAGCAGCAGATTGTACAACGCGTTTTATTTTCCGTTCATTTCTCATTTTTACCCGAAATCCTACCCCACCCGATAACGGATTAAATACCCTCAAGAAAACAACTCGCTTTTCGTTTTTTGCACCTGTCAAGGCGCGATTCTATCAAGGTTTGCCCCCCAACACACACATACATTTTTTTCAAGCTGTTTTCTTTAAAGGAAAGAACCTTATGTTACACTTTGGCATTTATTGCTAGTTCAGTATTAAACTTTTGCTATGCTTGAAGAGGCACAATTCTCAGAAACTGAATATAAAATCATGGATGCTTATCGATATTGTTTGTAGCACAGTGTTTCAGTCGGTGCACTCTAGAACCTTCCTCAGGTGTATGTCGCATCCGCTAGCCTTCAGAAATTTTCTAAATTAAATTTATTGTTTCAATCTTTTTGCATTGTCATATCAAGTTTAACTTTCTTGAGTTTAAAACTCCATCATACTGCAATGAACAAGCATGAAATATGTCTGTTTTCTGATTGTCGATTATTATATTTGTACCAGTGAATCTATATATGTACAAACCACCCAGCCCAGGGATTAAACTTAAGGCTTATTTAACATCATGTAAACAGCCAAGATGAGGATACTCGTCTGGAAAAATCATAACGCATAACACTACTTACTTGCTGAATTTCAAACTTTCTTAAAAGAATATGGCGTTTATTTTGAAAAAAAACTTTCCAAAATTTATGATTGATATTAAAGTCACATGAGTAAATCTGCATAGACTTAAGATAAGCACGAAGACCAAACTGTGAATAACGCAGTGAAGATCGAACACACTACATAGTAATAATTGGTTGGGCGGGGGCTGCGGGAAATTTTTGTTCCTAACCCGGGTGTACGCGCTCGGGTCCCCACCTTAAAAACTGACCTTGTGTCTTAGTGAGGAGACAGAGTAAATACCTCGTAATAATTGGTTGGCTTTATTATTATTGCATGGTGAGGTTTCCTCAGGTGCATATATTTGTATTTAAATATATATATATTTTTAGGGTGCAAAATTTCATTATGTCAATTATGTTTAATCGTAGAGGATCGATCGTGTGTTGGAGAGTGAAGAACAAAGACTACTCAATTTTTTTATTTTTCATTTGATTATTTTCTTTCGATTTGCCATTTATGGTAATTCTACATTTCTTTTGTTTCACTAGTTTTCCCCCCTCTTCAATTAAATATGCTTTAATGGCCATACTATTTGTATTTATGAGGCGTAACTAAATTAAAAAGTTACAACTGTGAACTTACTGTGCAAAAGTAATGGTCGAAAATCTAACTCGTTTACTATGGCCTAAAAAACGCTACACCCACAAGAGCACATTTCAGCACAACTAACGCTAATGTTTTCATGAGTTTACCTGTCCAGCTGCAAGCGACTTTAAATAGGAAACGTCTCTTTGCACGTTATTTTCATTTTGTTCTTTGCACACGTCTGTGACTGTTACCTACTTTCGATGAATAATATTTACTTTCTTAAGAAATGTCATGTTTCTATTTTTAGTCAACGAAAATGGAATGTTGGTACTGAAGGTTTTAATATCATTATAAACTTATTATGCTGTTTCGAGAAGGCGTTTTTCAATGTGCATTTTATTCATCCCCTCTCTCTCTCTCTCTCTCTCTCTCTCTCTCTCTATCTATCTATCTATCTATATATATATATATATATATATATATATTATATATATATATAATATGAATGTCAGTGTGTCAAATTTTCTCAAATAAAGGGACACAACTCTAACTTTCAATAGTTCATGATACAGAAATTTTGAATTCCCAAGTTTTCATTAATGCGATTGTTTTCGGCGATTTTTACGTGTGATTTTTTGCAACCAACTTTTATGTACGATAACAATTTATGTAACATGGAAATAAACTTGGGAATAATATAAAATTAATTGCGAAATCCAGCGAAAGTCACTCATGAAATAAAAAATAATTGTTTGTACGGAAAGTAAGGACCTACGTATATCAAATTGTCTTTAAATTAAGTGGCGGCAGAAGAATTATTGTTAAACTTTTAAAAGGTAAGTTTAAATATTAATGCAATACTTAAATGTAGCGATCAATTTTGAGTCCTGTAGTTTATTGTTGCCTATCGTATACGGAAGCAGTATGCCTCACAAAAATAAATCTTTCCTCAACATAGGACCAGATTGTAATCAAATGACCTAAAGCTACAGCGAAGAAAAGGTCAAAACTTTAAAAGCACATACTCTGCTTATTATTAGATATATTTATTTAATAGCTTAGACTTTCCGCAGTCTTAGACACCCTTCGAGAATTGAATTCATCATATAATAGTAATGCTTTGTTAGATGAAACCTTTCACCATTATCCCACGTCAAGATGTGCAAAATATTGCTGATAACTTGTGTCGCATATATGTGTGAAATTTCATTTTGGTTATAGTAATTTACTAGCAGCATGGCCCGTCGTTGCCCGTGCTTGATTCAAAAATCGTACGACTCATACAGCAATCGCTATCACTTGACTTAAAATATTTTTGCCCTTCTTTGCCTTTAAAGGAGTGCCCTTTGCCGTGCTGATGTTGCTACATGCCTTATTTCTTGCCTATCTCACACTGCGTATTTTTTCTAAGCTCTATACAAAACATTAAATCTGTCACGAAAAAGAACTAAACAAAATGAACACAAAACGATCAGCTTTAAAAAGGACTCGTAAGTGGAAAAACCGAATGAAAAAAGAATGTTAACAACAAATACTTTTTCACACCCAACCCAGTTCTGCGAAATCAGAATCAACGTTGAGTTTAAGCAAGCGAACGAGCCAATTGGAGTAAAGTGCCATGCAGATTTAAATTTTTCCCACTTGTGACGAATGCAGCTATCGATTTTTTTTTTTTTTTGCGTGTTAGCATGCTAGTTAACATTCGTGTCAGTCAGCTGTTGGCTCTCACGCTGGCCAATAGAATCTTCCTGCCTATTCGTAGCAGCCAGCTATAGGCTCTCACTCTGGCCAGTAGAAAATGGCCGCAAACTACATGAAAACTGCTGTAGAAGCATGAAAAAATCGATTATTTCCACTATCGATGAGAGTTGGGAAATGCAAAGTCGCTTTGGAGCATGTGCATGTAAATTTTGGTGCAAATCCGTCGAAAATTGCGGCCGTGCATTCATTACACACACACACACACACACACACACACACACACACACACACATCCTGCCTTTTATAGATAGAGATTAAACTTCAACTAGTCTGGCAGATGCCGAAGGTGTGGCTAGAGGCATGAAATATAAGTCGCCTCGCCAGTTGGTGTCACTTTATCAGAAGGTCTACTCAGAATCATGAAATCCACATTTTCTCTCATTTTTTTTTATAGCTGAGGCTAGATCACTGACGCAATATACGACCAAGTCATCTCGCCAATAAGACCTCATTTAGATTTTCTTTTCTATATATTCTGATATGTATTCGTTTCGCTGCCTGAATAAACTATTTTCTAATTCTAGTTTCTATGTACATAAAGTGTTTCCACTCAAAAGCTGTAAGCATATCCTTGTTTTTATTCAGGTATGACCATCTGGTATGAACACGCAAACACATGAAATTAAATGTTCTATTGGCAATAGTAGTAATAGTAATAATAACAATATATTGACGGAAAATAAAATTGCAACGTCTTGAAGGACGGTGTTGATTTTGACCTGGCTATACAATGTGCATGCTAATGCGTAGTTAGATATTCTGATAAAAATTTAAAAAGTCTAAGCCATCATACAAGTGTACTGTTTCTGTCTAAGCTTTATATAGTGACACATGCTGCGACAAGCTTCAATATGATGAAATATAAAATTGATTCGTTTTTTATTGCTTATCAACCCTTTGCAGGTTATTTAAAGGCAGAAAATATTTTTAGATTATAAGATTTATGGCGGGGGGTTGGGAATAATAATGGTTGGGTGATGCGAGTCTTACAAATTAACCCATAGCAGGGTGAGAAGAGGTGGATTCATACCTTTCCCAAGGGTATTTGCACATAAGTAAACATAACGAACCCAATGGGAATTGGAACTCGGCTTTCCGATTAAAAATTCTGAACCATTATCCGTTACACTACCCGTACATCCAAGCTTACATCACTTGATATTCTTATACGGTCACCCATCTAGTTGCTGACCAGGCTTGACATTGCTTAACTTCGGTGCTTGTACGGGAACAGGTGTTTCAACGGGATGTGGCCGTAAGCTTCATGATGAAATATTCCAGTGTAATCAAGTGTCATGCCACAAAGGTGCATACGTACTTCTTTTTTTCCAATTAGAGATGAGTTTGTGAGTGATCGAATTGTGGATCTTTGTGAAGGTGAATGTTACTTTTGAAGAATGTCTGCGCATGTTGGACGTGACGCATTATTTGTGTTTCAATGATAGAAACAGTGGTCAAATGAATATTCCCCCATCGGTAGACCAGGTTCGGGACAGCCACATAGTACAGAAGTGGCAGATCAAACAGACTCCATAGCAGAGAGTAGACCAAATGTAAACTTCATAGTGTCAAGACGGACTTTTGAGAAATATTTACATGCAGAAGCATTACGGACACATGTGTCTCTAACCAAACATCCACATAGATCACAATCATGTCTCTAGTGATGTCACGAGAGGAGCACTTGAGGGATCGAAACGTGCTCTTTTTTGTTGTTTTTTTTTTTTTTTTTTTCAGTGACGAGAGCTGTATGCAACTGATGGCCATTTGCGTGTGCATTGTACACCTGGGGAGCAATAGCCAAGATACACAAGCCGAACCCATTGGAATAATATAGAATTTGTATACTGTGCACGTATTGATCTGCATATGTGATGATCATTTTGTTGTATTCCAGTTATATTGCTTGAACGTTTAATCTTCAGTAAACACAAGAAATTGTTTACGGTGTTTCGGTTTTATTTTCTCTCAGTGTATATCACGGCTTCGCGAACAAATATCAAAGGCGGTTTTCTATATTTATTACAGGCTTGTCAACCGATGCCTCTAGTGTAAAATCAGTTTTTTCATTAGAAGTTAGAGAAGACTTTCTGGTAATTGAAGGAGGCTCCGGTTTTACAACACTGTATCACTTATGCTTTTGCCAAGTAGATTTCTTTGTTTTGGTGAGAAAGCCTTATGCTGTCATTTTCTAGTGATTTCTTCGAATGTCTTTTCCGAGTATGCATAAGGTAATCTTGCAAATGATAACGTCAGAACCCCGCACTCTATTTGCTATTCAAACTGCACGAGAATTTGGATAGCACCTCATAGGTAAATAAATTCTGTAGCCTAATAATGAAAACAACTATTTGTTTATTGTCATAATTTACTTCATTGTAAACGTATTTAATTAAATGTTAAATTTTTATATAGGTTTAGCATAATGCAATGAAGCTTTGGAGCCAAACCTCAACGTGTCTGATAGCGATTTATTGTTGCGCAGAAAAGATTTCAACCTAACCACCCAAGCCCTTGCCCACAAAGATCTCATATTTGGTCATTTGATCAAATTTGTGGAATTTGATCGGGAGGAGAATTTTCATAACCCCCTAGTATATATATGATTATTACCTATCACCAGTAGAGGACATAGACTTTGAAGTAGGTAATATGATATATATATATAATAGGGGGTTAGGAAAATACTTTGCTGTATTTAAGTCTGAATTTACACTGATTAGAATTATTTTTCTGATTATCAGTAAAATCGATAAAATCATCCATACTGATAAATAAAGTCAGCACAACTTAATTCTTTTTATTAAAAAAAAAATCTTTAAAATTAAAATATACTTTTCCGTAAAGTTATTCGAGAAAAATTAGCTGATTTAATGTTTATTTAATTTAAATTGAAACAAATATTACTTTTAGTTTAATATATCGCAGAAAAGCATTTTTAACATGGATGCGGGCGTTTTTTTTTATGCGGTGTTGACACATTTATCAACAAACTGACGTTTGGAAAATTTGTATAAGGAGGACATAATTGTTACAAAATTACATGACGAATACAACATACTTTTGTTTATAATTTTTTCAAGTATCCAGTAATCTTTAAAATATAAATATTTTAAGCATTCTCATATTTTATTCAGTTTAGGTATTTTACCTTTATTGTCTAACTTACGAAGATGCTTCTTTAGGAAATTAGAAAATTACCAATAAATTTTAAATTTACTATAGTTACCGCTTTTATTTTCTGATAATGTCGTGTATGGACATCCATATTTAGAAAAATCGACATGTTTATATACACACAAAAAAAAAATTCTTTTAAAAATACTGCGGTCAATGAATTGTAGTAAGGTGTTTTATTTATGAATGGTAAATACAATTTTTTATTTAATAATGATATGATTTGACAGATATAAATTAATACAGAATATTAAAAGATTTAAAACTTTAAATTATTCTAGATAAAATAAAAAAAAATAAAAACGATTTACTTTTTTACTCATTCCAATCAATCTAAATTCAGTTCGAAATACAGTAAAAGATTTTGCTTATGGGAAATATTAAGTTTAATCTATTAGCTTGAAATTAAAACTAAAATAAAAGCTCTAGGAAAGATTTTTTTCATTTTTAAAAATGCATCTTAAACCTTAAGTAACATTTTTCTTTGGAGGTACCTGCATACTGGTACCTATATATAAATTAATTAGAAGCTATTCTAATAAAATAATATCTTCGTTTTATTGCATTTTTTATTTTATTATTTGGAGCAAATTTTCTGTAACTGTAGGTCCTGTTTGATCAAAAAGAAATTGATGGTTTAAATTTTCCAAGAATTTGGTATAATTATAAACATTAACCGCTACAGAAAGGAATTTCTCGAAATTTCATAAGGAAGAGAAGTGCAACAGATATAAAAAAAAAAATATTTTCTAAAAAAAAGGAAACATTTCAAAAATAATTTAATTCATTTCTGAATAAAACCTGAATGTTTCATTAAAATCCGACAATTATTAGATTTTTGCAAGAATTCCCAAATCCATGTGTTTTTCACCGCAAAAAGATCCTTAAATTTCCCATACTAATTTATGGTCCCCCGTTGACGCCAGAAAAACAAAGCTTTAACTAAAATCTTGAAGCTTCTAAAAGAGATTAAAAAAAAACAATTATTTTTACGTAAAAAATTGTCGCGTAAATTACGCATAAAAAAAAATAACACTAATATCTCATTTTAACAGGTATATATACCAAAATTACGCAAAAATATCTTGAAATAATAAAGAGTAAATTAATTCAATAAAATCGCCATTGGCTTCAACCACTGCCTCCAGACGACTTCGAAACGTCCTGCAACTCTTTTGGAGGGTCTCCTTGTTTAAGTTGAATGTTGTCATGATCCTTGCCTTTAGTTCATCTTTGATGTTACAGGGATTTTTGCAGGTCTCTAGCTTAACTCCGCCTCACACATAATAATCAAGGGAGTTGCAGTCTGGAAAGTTAGGTAGCCAGATATAAGGGGTAATGTAGTCGCAGAAATTATCTGACAGCCATGATTAGGTTCTTCTGCTTGTGTGACATTCAGTAGCCACCCTCTTGACTCAGGGCAGCACTACCTCCACAAGGCACTCGATGCAGGCTCCTGTGTTGAGTTTGAGGCCCTGTGGGAGTATGAATGGAAGCATAACTTCGCCATCACTAGTGATCACTCCAAATACCATGATGGTGACTGGATATATACAAATCTTTCCGAATCCTTTGCACTAACCTCAGATTAACACTCTGAAAATGTTCGTATTGGAGTTTCCGGCGCGAATGCCAAGCAGTACAGCATGCCGTTTCCAAAATTCTGGCGGAGTGAATTGCGTCATTGTGCTATTTTTCTCACAGACGGTGCCCACCTGACCCTACTATACTGTGCAGCCAAAAAAAAAAAAAAAAAAAATTAAAAGCAAACAACACGCATGTGCGAAATTAAAAATATAAAATTGCAACATTTTACCTATCTGGCACACACACACACAAATATATATATATATATATATATATATATATATATATATATATATATATATATATATATATATATATAATACGAAAATTTTCTGAAATTACGCAAGATACCAGCTGATGACTTTGGACAGCTAGCAAGTGTAACCTATAACTCTTACGCAGGGACTATCTATTATACACGTGACTCTTTAATGAAAGCAGGTAGAATGCGTGAACCACCTATTTCCACACAATGAAATACGAGTGACTGACTGTTAAACCGACAATATAAGCACATCCTATAATGACCTCGTACTTTGAACAAACCACATGACAATCGTCTCGACTGAGATTTTTCGATTAAACACTCCCTGAAACTCTGAGTAAAAATTTTAAAAAAGTTATTTTACACTCAAACCGTCTTTATTCTTTCTCTTATTGTTTTTTCTTGCCTTTTATTTAAACTATCTGCCTCCATTTTCATACTATGACTTTTATTTTCCCCATCTGTTCATAGCTATGATCTATCACTTTCTGTTTTTATGTACGTATCTGTCTATGTATCTCACTCTGTTCGTATATACTTAGTTTGTTCATATATATTTCATAATAAGTATCTGTTAGAAGAGAAAGTTTGTACAAATGAGTAAAGTTTAATGTTTTATCGTGTGATGTAAGACTACAAGGTGTAAAAGTTCAAATATTTTGTCAAAGAGAAAAAACATCTTTCTTTTTAAAATAAAACACCGCCTTAACAGTCTGTCAAGCAGTTAAAAAATGTACTTTACACACACAAAATGCTAATAATCGTGCGAAATGTCAAAGCTTTCAATTCGGTGAAGAGGAAAAGCCTTCTAGCAAAGAAAGTACTTGTTCTGTTCTGCCGAAGACAATGATAAATTGAAGCAGTTAAACCCTTGAGGAACGATCAGCATGATTACGAATTTGTTTTTATGATTCATTTTTATTAAGCCTAACAATGAAAACAAAGAAAAAGAAGGAAAATATTTAATGCGTTAATTGATAGGTGCAAGAGAAATCCAGGAAAAATAAATGGAAGATTATAAAACGCGGAATGTGACCACGAAGAGAAAACGAAATATGAAAACGTTTAGTAGATGAAGATAAAAACCGAAATTTGTGGAGTTTTATAACTTCAAATATATATAATCATCTCCCTTATCTTTCTAACATTAAATTAAAAAAAATAACAGCTGAATATTTAGTTAATATTAACAAAATAACAAACAATTACATTGATTTTATCAACGTTATA